CCCCTATTAGTCTAAAACATCAAATATGTTGTAAGATAAATGTGTCATCGTCTAAAGATATAAACAGAGATAAACATATTAAAGATATATTAGAACTGACCAGAAGGGTACATGTGTAATGCAGCAAGATACATCTCGATTTTAATATTCTATTTTATTATTTGTCTCTGTCGATGTTATAATACGATTTTATGTGTTTTTAAGAAAACAATAATGATTTTATTTTTGAATAAAATATAATTTTGAAGATATCATAAAAATTTTAAAAAAATATATCAATGTTAATATCAAATCAACTATTTAAAGTTTTCATTTTTATGTAATTTTTTTAATTTATTTATTTTTATTATAATTTAATTTAAGTTTAATAATGAAATAATTTATTTTTGGTTTAATAATATCATTTTATAAATATAATAATTAAATATTTTGTTATAACTCAATGATTATCTTAATTATGTTATAGATTTTTTATATTTAAAATAAGATGTTTATCATGTATTTGATTATGTTTATCTGCAGTTAGTTACACAAATTCAGATATGGAGCTTTAATAAGTCGTACTTATTCACAATCTACTTGTAATCTTGAGTTTTAAATAACATGCATTAATAAACAATATTTTATGGATAAAAAGTAGTTTTTAAGAGTTTTTGTCAAATGCTTTATAATATAGTATAGATAGCTCTCGTAGTTATCTACTTGTAACTCATATTTATATAAAGAGTTTATAATTAATGAGTTTATAAAAATGTTTGAAAAAAAATTACATGGTAACAAAGAATATGATGATTAAAAAGAAAGTATATTGTTAATAATTAAAGATATAATTATGGCTTTTTAATACCAAAAATAGATGATATTGTCTATCATTACAAGAAACCATGTTTTTATGAAAGTTCTGGTCAACGACCATATTGTTATTTTAGTTTAATATTAGAAGGGTACTTAGTAATGCAGTAAAATAAATCTTAATTTTAATGTTTAGTTTTATTCTGTTTTTATTGATATAATGCGATTTTATGTGATTTTGAGAAAACGATAATGTTTTTATTTTTGAATTTAATATATAAATTTGAAGATAACATAAAATTTTGAAAAAGATAAGTCGATATTAATATCAAATTAACTATTTAATAGTTCTCGATTTTTTTGTGTAACTTTTTTAATTCAATTTTGATTTAATAACAAAGTAATTTATTTTTGGTTTAATAATATAATTTTTTATAAATATAATAATTAAACATTCTGTTAGAACTTAATTGATTATCTTAATTATATTTTAGAATTTTTATATTTAAAATAAATATTTATCTTGTATTTGATTATGTTTATTTGTAGTTAGTTACATAAATTTAAAAATGAAGTTTTAATAAATTATACTTATGCCAAATTATTTGTAATATTGAATTTTAAGTAATATGCATCAATACACAGTACTTCATGCATAAAAAATAGTTTTTAAGAGTTTATGTCAAATGCTTTATAATATAGTATAGATGAATTTTAAGTAATATTATCAATAAACGGTACTTCATACATAAAAAATGGTTTTTAAGAAATTTTTGTCAAATGCTTTATAATATAGTATAGATGTATTGATATGCTTAAATTATTTTATTTAAATTACTAAATTTATTAATGTTGATTAATACTTTATTTTACTTTTATTGATTTCGTGAATATCTCATTACTAATATGGATATTTTTGCATATTATTTATCAAATTATAGTTGTTTTTACTTTTTATGAAGTTGGTTTATTTCCATAACAACATTACCATAATTATCATATTTTATAAAAAATTATCCTCAAATAATCTATATTATATTATAAAGCATTTGACAAGAACTCTCAAAAACCATTTTTATGCACAAGTTATTGTTTATTGATACATATTACTCAAAATTTATGATTACAAGTAAATTGTGCATAAATACAATTTAATTTAGGGAAAAATGCATAAAATAACAATCTACTTTCATAAATTTCTTTATTATAGCATTGTATTTTCAGTTTTTCTTATTACAGCAGTGTACTTTCAAACTATTTTTATTAGGATATTGTCTTTGAAAATTTACCCATTATAGCATTGTGTAACCTTTTGATTTGAATTTATCCATTATATCAGGTTTCCATGTCACCTCATTGTCCACGTAGGCTATCCACATATACTATAGTGGTATGGTTTTCTTATTACTTCATTGTACTTTCAAAATTATTTTATTATAGCATCTACTAGTTCTTATTAAACACTGTATTTTTAATTTTAAAATTTAGATATTTTACATGTTATTTAATAAATATATTAAATGAATTATTTTTTTTTAAATTATTCATTAATATACCAATATCAATAAAACTAGTAGAACACAACTTATCTCGCTGATATTTTTTTAAAAAAATATGTGCTTTTTTGAAAAAGAAAATAAGAATTGTTTCTTTGTTACCAAAAAATATTATCTTTTAAAAAATATATTTATTTGTTCAAAAAGTTTTACTTGACATATAAATATGTTAAATTAATTTGATTTTTTTGAATTATTTATTAATATAACAATATTAAAAAAATGTATATCACAATTTATTTCGTTAACATTTTAAAAAGAACTTTAAAAGATATGTATTTATTTGAATAACATAAAATAAGAAGTGTTACATTTTTTACAAACAAAATATATCTCGAAAATAATATTTTATATTTATTTAAGAAATATTTTACTCTAGAATATTTAATTTGCATGCAACTTAATACGAAAAAGTCAAAAAAAAATTAAATATTTTTTTAGATCATAGCAATGAAAAATAAAAATTACTAATAATAATTTGACATAGATTTTTATTTTTATTTTAGTTAAGTAATCAAAATGATGTGTCATCCACATCACCTCATTAAAGCCACACAAGCAAAAAAAAAAGTCAAAGGTTAACCGGTTTAAAAGGTAACATGTTAGCTATTGCTATTATGGGTAGATTTATTAAAATACAATACCTTAATAAAAAATAATTTGAAAGTACATTGCTGTAATAAAGAAAAACAAAAGTACAATGCTGTAATAAGAAATTTTATGAAAGTAGGTTGTTATTTCATGCATTTAACCCATTAATTTATTATGCACAACAAAGCGACTCATCATTCATCATTTATTACTCAAAATTGTGCATAAATACAATTTATTACTCAAAATTTATGATTACAAGTAAATTATGCATAAATACAATTTATTATGCACAATAAAGGTTCGGAATCCAACACCCAATGTTGGTCCCCGATGCGCAACAAAGTGACTCATTATTCATTGCTATAGATAAACTCACTCCAGTCTCGTGCTTCTTTGGGCAATCTTTTCACCTAATGCCCCAGTTGTAAGCAATAGTTTCGCTTTAGAACTTCCCATTCCATATGGCCCTCTAGACATAGATTGCCCACAACCCTTGTTCTTCTTTTTGCTTGATGATGCCTACAACAGTTATCATTGGTGGTATCTTGTCTCGAATTTCTTCCAAAGATGCTCACTAAGATCCTGGTTTTTATGTCATTATGGATATGGTTTCTCGCCCATAGATGTGTATTAATTTGGTAATGAAAATAACAACAAAATCATGGCTAAGGCTTTGAAGTCTTCAACAAGCTTCAATCTCTATCACCATTCCATTGTTCAATATGCATGCAAATTGCCTCCTTGAACATTGTATGACCCCTTTTTACATAAGTCGTGATGGTGAAGACTCACTACCAAAAACATTTTGTTCATAATCAAACAGTTTAGCCAACACTTGGCATGCACCACAACCAACTAATCCTCCTACAAGTGATTAGCCTTGAAAACACATCAGAAAATCAACTCAGTAGTTCTAATACCACTTCTTAAGGATAATTTCCATAAGACCAAAATGTGCAAAGTTGCAACCCAACAATCGAAACAAAATATGAGGATCCTAAATGTGTTCAAGTGTACCAACAAGTAGAAGAAAATGCAATCTAAGTCCATTCTCAACAATGTAAATGCAAATAAACACAAGAACACCGAAATTTAACATGGTTTGACTATCGTGAGATAGTGTACATCCACAGGGGAGATGATTTCTAGCTAAATTCAGTGAATGAGATGCTAAAAAACATAGCAGCAAGTGTCCCTATGACATAAGCAACATCCTTTTTCAAATATATAATATATAATATTTAAAGTGTTCAAATATCATCGAGTAATAATAGAAGAAAAAAACATTTATATATATATAATATACACCCAATGCTATGAAGTCTTTACATCTATGAAAAGCCATATATTGTAGATAACAAATACATGGACCTTCGAATACGTATGCAACAAGATATAAAGTAATAAAAAATATGCGTCGAGAAAATATCAAACATATGTCAAGATCATATGATTTTGACATACGTATACAACATACTACTTGCACAAAGAAACAATCATTGCAAAACCAAGAAAAATCGAATAAAACCCGCAACAAAAAACTTGTATAAAATAGTTGAAATATACACCTTCTATAAAACCTAATATCTATCTACTCATATTATCATCGATGTTGAACTCGGACTTGAGTCGTTTTTTGATGCTTCCATGTGTTTCGATGTTTGTTTGAAACTTTTTACAGAGGAAAAAAGGGTACTGTGGGAAGATTTTGAAAGGGATTAAGGATTCTCTCTCTCTACAAGTCTCTTTTATAAAGATGCAAATACGCCTTTGAGTGACATGTGACATATATACCCTCACATGATATCAGAACTAACTGTACTACTCTAAAGACCCAGTACTAGCAATAAATACGTCTCATTTTTTTTATTAACCTGGACCCACTATGTGAGCCGACTAATCCCAGGACAACCACCTGCTTTGCAGATAGCCCGAAGTCTCCGCATTTGAACCTTCGTGGCCACAAGAGGATTTTTATTCCTCCTTGGATTTAAACTTGTGACCTCCTGGTACTTTTGACCTTTGAAGCCATTTAAATCACATGGTAAACATATTTTGTTTCCAAAAGTGGAACTCAAATGTCCATTTTGAATTTTGAATAAATGTACATGAATTTGCACATGCTATTTGCATATGTTTATTAGAAATTAAAGAACAAAGATTTGTCTACTCTACTTGTATCATATTATTTATGCATTTCTTCCTTCCTTCATTCATGGGAGGTTGGGTTTCTCTACTGACATTGAATCCAATAATCATATCAACAACCAACCAACCAACCATTACCACCAATCTTTCCTATACATGATGATATACATATATATATATATGTATATATATATATATATATCTATGATGATGCTTCTAACAGCTTTGCTGCCAGATGCTCTTGACTTGTTGACACCCCTAAATCCTTCAACACCTTGTCGCACAGCTGCATATTTATACAAACAGCACATTTCTATTATTAGAAAAGAGCTAACTTCTCCTTCAAATTGACAAGGAATCAACAGAATTATCGATTACCTGTCTATATACACTACTCTCCCCGCTCGTTTTTCTTAATTCCACCACGTACAAACACGGGTTTATTTCAAACACCTGCAACCATAACAACACATGTTCATACACACACAGAGACACACACATATATGCATATATATATATATATATATATATATAACACATCCATTTTCACTACTTACTTCTGCTGTCACTGATAGATTACAAGACTTTCTCTGCCCTTTCTGATCTTCCAACACCTTCAACTAAACACATGGAACAAAATTTCAGTACTTGCTTTCTCATTTTTTTTCTTTTTAAGATTTCATCGACAAATCTTTACTACTTACCTTTCCGTTTCTCTTTTGAACTCCAAATCCCATCTCTGATACTGTATTCTCTATTCTTTCTAGCAAATTTCTCGGGGAACGGGTGGATGTGAATCTCACTTTTCTCTCCGATACGTCCTGAAAGCAACCAGACTCACTTAGAGACTTTGCAAATCAGTGAAAAAGAAAGAAACTTTCTGATAAAATATGTCTCTTTTACCTCTTTCTCAAAGAACCCAGAGAGATCCAAGCACGAAGACATTCCAATGAGTTCAAAAGCGTTAATATGAGTAGGTGATTCTGTTTCTTTTTCGGAATCCGTTGGCTGCAACAAGCAGAACAAGGATTAAAAATCAATGCAGTCTTGGAACAAAGATGAAAAGTGACAAATTGATTTCTTACAGCCTCATGTAACGATAAAACTTCATCATCAATGAGCACATCTTCCTCCTCTTCCTCAACAATTGCAGGAGTATAATCCTGTTTGAACCATTCGTTTGCTTTGATCTCTGCAATCGTTATCCTTGTTTTAGGGTTAGGATCAAGAATTCTCTTTATCAAAGTCTTTGCTCCTGGAGGCAACCATTTGGGCATCTGCACATCTCCTTTGAAAATCTGCAAATACCCCAAGAGGAATTATGTTAAAAGAAAAACAAAACATCCAATTCAACACAAGTATATAAATTTGTATGCACACCTTCTGATAAAGAACTGCAAGATTTCTATCATCAAATGGTAGATAACCCGTAAGGATTACGTATAAGATGACACCACAAGACCAAGTATCTGATGTCGCACCGTCGTACCCTCTGTTAGAGAGAATCTCAGGAGCAACATAGTTGGGACTCCCACAGGTTGTATGCAATAGCCCATCATCCTAATACATATTACAAAGATGTTAACATCATCTGATTCATAAGACTCAAGAGGTGTTGCATTTTTATAATATCAACATACCCTGAAATGCTGTGGCAGCGCACTAAGGCCAAAATCCGAAATCTTGATGTTTCCTTTAGCATCTACAAGAACATTCTCTAGCTGCACACAGAATTTTGTCAGTAATCTGATGATTCATGTAGGATATTGATATTAAAGTAGGGAGATTATGCAATGACCTTAAGGTCACGATGATAAACGCCTTTGTCGTGACAATAACTGACCCCATCGATCAACTGCTGGAACAACTTCCTGCCATCTGACTCTTTTAGTTTACCTTTGGATGCCTATCAGAAAAGATACAACAGTTATAATAATTCCCCATTTTTAAAGCCAAGACACAAACATAGTTTGGTTTACTTGCTTACAATTGCTTCGAATAATTCACCTCCGTTGACGTATTCAAGAATCATATAAATCTTGGTTTTGCTTGCCAAAACCTGCATCAGAAGATCATTTGATGATGGGTAACTTTAATCATGTTATATGTATGATGATGTTATCGTAAAACAGAAGTTGCATCCAACTTGATATATCTTAATTGATAAACAAGAGGATTAGGATGCAGCAAGACAAAACCCTGTACATCTGAATTATTGAAACTTGTCTGAATTATTTCTAATTACACTATTTAATTCAAAGCACTGTGCAGATCATTACAAAAAAGAAACAAGTAATCTAAAAGTTATCTGACCCACCACCCCCCTTTTTGTTTACTTGTTATCTTGATTGATTCAGACGAAACCCAACTCCAATTTTACATCAAAACGATAAAGAAGCAAGGAGGAGATCTAATGAACCTCGTGTAACCTGACGACGTTGGGATGTTTGAGGATCTTCAATGTGCCAATTTCCCTCTTTATCTGTAACAAGTATATGAACAGCAGATCATCAAACAGACATGCAGAGTGATGTGTAACAGTTTGAATTAGAAGTAGCAGAGGATGAAACGAAACCTGATCTGAGAAGTTGAGATTCTTGATACGGGTTTTCTCAAGGATCTTGACGGCAAAAGGGTGTCCAGTTTGGATGTCTTTAGCGTATTTAACTTTGCCGAAATTGCCTTCACCAAGAGTCCTTCCGATCTCGTATTTCCCCAATTGCAACTGCATTCCCTCTTCTCCTCCACTCTTGTTCTTCCTCCCAACTAATACCATTTGTGATTCTTTCTCGATTCTATGATCTATATGAAAAGAGAAAGGAAACTATGTTTGTGTATTTATGGGGATGTTGGTGGGTGCCTATTTCTTTGATATAATGATATATTAAAGATGTATGATTATGATGATGATGATATATAGATATAGATATATATATATATAGAGAGAGAGAGAGAGGGAGAGAAGGTGGATGGAGGGAGGAGGAAAGAAAGGGTAACTGGCAATGATAGAATAATGCTATTTTGTTCAAGGAAACAAAGTCCACCCTACGCTTCATATTAACACGTAGATAATTAGAATTATAGAGATAACGTTTTCAAAAGCGTGTTACATATGTCTTGTTTGTTTATCTTTTAATAGTTTTATTAAAAGATAGTTTCTAAATTATTAGAAAGTGAATCGTATTTGATAAAAAAAAAACGTGTTTTTTTAACGATTTTAAAATTCTGTATGATTTTGTATCTTAAGTTTCTCTAAGGCCTAATTTAATAATTACCAAACAATCATATTTCATTTTGTATTATATCAATAAGAGTCTTTTAATCATTGTGACCATTTAATCATCTTATACTAAACCATTCAACAATTGTCAAACAATCTCTCGTTGTTTTTAGTTTTCTATTTTCTTTTTATTTATACTATATTGTAAAGCATTTGACAAACACTATTTTTTATGCATAAATATTGTTTATTGACTCATATTTACTTAAAATTCAAGATTACAAATAAATAATGTGTACGTATAACTTATTGAAGTTTTATGTTTGAATTTGTGTAACTAACCGCAAATAAACATAATTAAATACGGAATAAACTTTTCCTTTTAAATATAAAAAATCTTAAATATAATTAAGATAATAATTGAGTTTTAATATTATTTTTGTAAAAAATTATGTTATCAAATCAAAATTAAATTACTTCATTATTAAACTTAAATTAATTAAAATAAAAGAAAATT